CACATTTTACACTGTAACCTAGGACAACCACATAGAAAGCAATTGAAGTTATTTCTTTAGGAAGTGGAAAAGAGCGTGGGGAAAGTAACTATTTTTGTAGATTGTACAAAAATACAGGAAAATAGACTTTTTTTTTTCTTTGAAAGTTAATAACAGGATACACTCTTGCAACAGGATGCTCTCTCCAAAGTAGCCTAAGGCTCTGGTTGATGCTGATGCACATTTGGCTTTGGCAAGTTAAACTGGCGTCTTTAAATTTAAAGGCAGGTGCTCCTTGCTCTCTAAATACATTTGGAATCTTCTCTTCTGTCAATGACAGAGGTTTCTTTCCTTTCTGAGGAGGCTGGTGCCATTATCGAAGGGCTCTGATTCTTCTCCCCAGTCATTTTACACCAGTACTGAGAGAAAGACAAGAGATGGGAAGGCTGCTTTTGTTCACTCTGAGTGCATCTCTGTTAAGGTTTTAGTTTGTTTGGATTGGGCATATGTCTCTGTTGTCACACATACTGTGCTTTGATTCACATTGCAGAGCAATCTTGGAGTAAGTAACCAGGATTGTTTTCGGATTAAATTAAATTTAAAAATGTGCTCCAGGAGTGCACCACGTGCACTTAAACTGTGAGTGTACTTTCAAGTGAGTGCAAAGATACCACGTAGGTATAATGCGAAGCAACCTTCCCCTCCAACCCCACAACACTTATATTGTGAACGTGGGATCCAGCACCAGCAGTTTCACTCTGTTCCTGCTTGTCACCATTCCTAGTGCACCGCACTACTTCCTAGTGTGGACCAGAGCTTTTGCCTCTTCTTCCAGTCTCAGGGCTAGGCACAATAAGACTGTGAATATATCTTGCTGTGTAGTGGTACAAACTTGTCTCTAGGCACTGTTTTAGCTTCTAGGAGGTAGTGGATTTTACTTGTGTTGCTGTTCTGTTGCACTTCTTTTTGAAGTCTGAAGCCTGTCTTGATATATTCAGAAGGGCTGAGGGGAGTTAGGCACCTCTGTATCCACTTGAAAGTCGATAAGAAAGGACTTAAGGTCCTTTGATCATCCCAGGCATATGGATATTATATCCTTTCCCAAGCACTCAATACTTTATCATCTTGAGTGAAATGGGTTCCTATACAGAGAGCTAGCATAGAACTTCTAAAGTCCGGGTAAACTGTAAATAGGTTCATTGGTGTATATGGGCTGCTATGGTGCATTCTCAGTAGGACTGCAGATCAAGCTGATCCTGAACCTGAAGTCCACACAGATTTATAGTTACTTTATTAAGCATCATGTCTTTTAGAAAGCACATTGGTAGTGCTCTGTTACTGAATTTCACAATAGAGTTCAACATTTTCTGGTTTTTATGATATGGTAATCAAAGAGATTTTTTTCTGCCCACCATATTTTTGCAAGCTGTGGTCTGAGGCTGCTGGGAGGATGTCTGTGAAGGGTGCTTGGCTTTGAAATGTAATCTTCCTCTTAATCCCTCACAGCCTTTTTTGGGTGATGTACCAGATACAGGATAAACCCTATCTCGTCCCTGAGGCATTCTCGGGGGACCTGTGAAGCTGGATAAGGCTTTGCTCAGGGGTGTGGTGTGGCAGTCTAGCTTTATGACAAGGTCATAGTTTAGTGAAAAGCTCCTACAGAATATGTTCCTTGGGAAATTATATGTCACCTGGAGTTGGACGGCAATATGCTGAACTGCAGCAAATAAGAATTAATAGGAAATGAACTGGATTCCCATCACCTGACAAAGAGAGGAGCTCATGTCACTAAACTGGCAGCAACTCATTCTGACTGCACTGCAAAAAGAAACCATGACTTTCTGCATTGTGCTCAGTGATGGGATCTAACACCCGTCCTGTCAACAGAATAAAGTCTTTGGATTTTCAGAATGTTTGTTAAAAGCAGGCAGCTCCACTAATATTCAGTATTTTCTTGTGAATATGTATATGTATGTCTGCTTATATGTATGAAAATGCTAGATACTGGTCAAGGAAATAAAAGCAGGGTAAGAGATATGAGCAATTGCCTGTAACCATTTCTGTTGGCCATTTCCAAACTTAGCTGCCAGAGCTAGAGAAAGATAATCTGATATATGCTCAGCCAGGCTTGGAAAGCATCCAGTGGACATGCACACACTGTCACTATCTATGTAAAAATTAGACATATAAGGCATATATTGGATGATACTGCTGATCTTGAAGTGGGTAGCAGTTTCTATCATGTTAGCCACCTCTATCCAACAAGGACAGACTGCTGCTCTATTCCCTTTTTGAAACTGTAGCAGAGTACAATATGAAGCCAGTATATTTCTTGATTAGAGATTTGTGTGTGACTAGGTTTTTTCCTTTGATGAGTTTTACTGCTTTTTATTTGGTTGCTTTTGCCCTGTTTCGCTTAGCCCAAGTTCACATCAGATGCCATAGTGATAAATGTCATAGTTTAGGAAACAGCCAAGAGGACAGTATGACTGAGAAACGGGTTGACAGACCAAAGATTGGAAAAAAAAGGGGGCAAGCAGCTGTGCAGAGGTGAGGTTAGCGATAGGAAGGACTGACAGGGTAGGTGAACTATGTCTTGTGGCTTGGCAACTGCAGTTTATTCTGTAATTTTTTCCCCATTCAGCAGTGCAACGTGCTGTCACTGTGCTTTCTTATGACAGTTTCTCTTTTATGAGACTCAAGTGTCTCACTTTCTGAATAGGAAAATTCCCAACATAGATTAGTCTCTGAATAGTAACATCTCTTAGGTTTGAGTCTGATGATTATGGGTCACCCTTCCTGTCTCGCCATTGATTTATATTGAACAGGACAAAGCAGCTGAGCACGGTGAGACTGAGCCCCTGGGTAGCACAGAAGCAGAATCTTTAATTGCCCCCTAAACCAGTTCCCCAGGGTGGGATCAAGAGGTTGCTTAATGCCTTGAGTGCTAGGATTTCCCAGCAGTGAAGTGCTGCCACTTTAATGCATTGGCATTTAGCAGTGCAGTCCTCAGGCTGCCACACCGAGACTGTGGTAGCAGTACAGCTCTGGGACAATTGATAGGTGTTTGGTCAATTTGCAGAGCAGAGATGAGCATTTTCGTTCATTTAATTTCCTGTGGGAGTCCCCAAGAGTTGTGTGGCCAAATCCCACACACAATTATGAAAATGTCGTCCTGCACTTCTGTCATCATTATTCCTCTGGCCAGCAATAAATGATACTTAATCATCAGATGGAAAACGAATTTTAAAAGTTAAGAATGAAAAAAAAGAGAAACCCAAAAGCCCAGGGCATATTTAATACTGAGTGGAGATGGAGCTATTCATTCTTCCAAGGCAGGAACTGATGGGAAGGCACTGAAAATGTCAATATTGTGAGATTGGTTTTTGTTAGCCGTTGCAACATCCCTCATTCTTCTCGATCCCATTATGAGTGGGTGAGTCTCCCTGCGACAGAATCATCACTTTCACTCACAGCTAATGCCTGCACTTTTGTTATTATTTATGGTTTACACTACAGATAGGCCAGAGTGGTGCTCCCTTGTCTTAATGACTATGAAAATGTGGGTCCTCATTGCGCAGAGGCACCTGAACTTCCGTAGAAATACCCATCCCCTTTCAACAAGGATTGGGTAAAGCTCACGGGGAGCAAGTGCCTCTCTAGGGCTCCAGAGCAGGATATTTCAGCAGGCAGAAAATACATACATGCAGTTAGATATTTTCTGTACTGCCAAGCAGTGGTGGCAACCAGGGAGTGTTCGGAGGTGTATTTCTCTGCAACAAAGTCTTGATACCCAGCGTGGACTGCCAATACCAGCACAGTTTGCCAAAAGAAAGGGTAAGATGGATCTCCTGGCCAAATTCCTCCTGGGGAATGAAACTCATATCACCCCAAATTCTCTCCTCAGTTTCAGTTGAATATAATACTCTTCACTTCCTGACCTAAATTCCTGTATTGTGTTGCCGAACACTCTTAACTAGCTGCTGCCTTTCACCTCAGAGGCATGAGCCCTGTAGGGCTGAGCTAAGTAAAACCTCCTCTGTTGTTTGGATAAGCAATTAGTGGAGTTTTCCAAATGCTTTGGGATCCATCCTGGATGAAAGGTGCTGCGTGGATGGAAGGTTGTGTTAGACAGGAAAGCAGATAGGTGGTTTGGCAGCTGGACAAGAATTTTACTAGTAGCAGCGCTGACGTTTCTTTTTTTTTTTTTTTCTGGTTACAGAGAAGGGGGTTGTCTCAGGGGCCTTACTTCAATGTATATGGAGAAAAAGGAGGTATGGAGCACCGCGGGTCTAGCCCATTCCCTGAAGGTCCAAGCGACTATGTCTTCAGTCATCTTCCACTACACTCCCAGCAACAGATCCGAGCACCCATCCCCATGATGCCTATCGGGGGTATCCAGATGGTCCATTCAGTACCGGTGGCCCTTTCAGGTTTACATTCTCCGTCCACTCTGGCCCTGCAGAGGGAGGGCTCTGAGGAGAAGCAAAGAGGAACTGCGGAAATCCTTACAAAAGAATCGTACAGTATTTCTAAGCACCACGAGAAACGTACCTCTCCGCACAGCTTGCACCCCACCGCTCCCTCCAGCGCGCCCTCCTCTCCATTGCTGTTGCTGACACAGAGCACGTCGGAGGACAATGTCATAGCTACCGAGAGGGAGCAGGAGGAGAACATACAGACTTGTACAAAAGCCATAGCCTCTCTGCGAATCGCCACAGAAGAAGCCGTTCTGCACGGGGCGGAGCAGCTGCAGAGGCCTTCTGAGCCTCACCAGAAACCCTTAGAAAGTGCACATTTTAGCATTAAACACTTTAGTGGATCTGAGCCGGGCCAGACCTGTGCCTCAGCCACCCATCCTGACTTGCACGGTGGTGAACAGGACAGTTTTGGTACATCACAGACTGCGTTAGCCCATCCCACCTTTTACAGCAAGAGCTTTGTGGACGTCCGGCACTTGGGCTTTCACAGCAGGAGCGACCCCCCATCAAGCACACAGGAAAGAAAAGATCCGTCATCTGAGAAGAGCAAGCCACATTGATCTGAGATGCATGGAGACTTTCACCCATACATTTACCCCCACTTTTTTTTTCTAGAGATAGAAGAAGTATTCAACTTTACAGCATGCCTGTTCTAAGTTACAGTAGTTTGCTATTATATATACTTTTGTTATATCAAAAGAATTAGATAAAATAACAAGTCATCATGAGCCTGACCAAAACTAAATTTGAAATTCTTATTGGGTCTGGTACTTTTAAATTGTACAGATGTTTGTGCCTTTTCTTTACTTTGCTTATATTCTTATAAGCATTTTTTTAGCAGTAATTTGTACATATTTTAGAATTTGTGTATCTGCTTTGTAATAAATGTAATTTCTTTCCTTTTTTGGACACTTGGATCTAAATGATGTAAAGCAAAACAGCATCAATATATGTGAGGTTGCACTAAAACATATTTTTATATGATTAAAACTGAACAGCTTTTATGTACAGCTCTGATTCTGTAATACTAATATTTATTTACTTTGTTTCATAAATTGTAAATTTTTTTCTTAATGTTGTGGATTGCTTTTCTATGTGAAGCATGGGATTTACTGTTGCGTAATTAGAACAAAATGTATATTGTAAAACAAGATATTTAAACTAGAGTATCTTATCTTATTCTGCACTTATGCATTAGTTAAAAAAAAAAAAAAGATAAAGGATGTATCAGTCAGTTCTTAACTCTTGTAATTTTTTTTTGTCTCTTGTTTGCCGGATTGACTATAACTTAAGTGCTGATTGTGATTTTAAACTGATAGTACCGTAAAGCATTAAAGTAAAACAATGTGCTATTGTGAGTTTTTTCAAAGCTTTATAAAACAGTTATAAATATATTAAAAGTATTTGGTCTTATGTGAACATGTTGATCTATATACTCCTTTAAAAAGCTATGGGAAAACATTCCACGCCATGTAAATAGGTGCAAGTGCATCACTGGTGCCGTCTGTGTAACTCACCGAGACAGGCGAGGTTTGCTGTGCTGCCAGGCCTGGAGCCGGGGCACCGCTGGCTGCTGGGAGGCAGAGCCCGGCCGCG